ACAGCAGGTGGCTGGGAGCAGCCACTGCACTCCAGTCTGGGCGACAGAGTGAGACTCCAACTCAAAAAAAAAAAAAAGATCTGAACTTTCACATTAAATGAATGTTTTAATAAAATTATGAAAGGTGGACTGAAAAGGCCTGACAGAACAGTTCAAAATACCATTAAAATAATCCATATAAGAAGCTATTAGGACCGACAGGATGGCTCATACCTGTAATAGCACTTTGGGTGGCTGAAGTGAGAGGATGACCTGAGCCCAGAAGTTGGAGACCAGCCTGGGCAACTTGGTGAGATCTTGTCTCCACAATAAATCAAGAAAAATTAGCCAGGCATGGTTAATTTTTATGTCAACATTGCATAAAATAACTTGGTTGGAACATGAAACAAATGTAAAGGCTGTTAATAAATTCAGGCAATTCTGATCAAAGTTTCCATGTTCTAATTAATTTCTGTTTAATCTAAGTGGATTATACAGAACTACAACTGTAGTTCCAGCTACTTGGAAGGCTGAGGTGGAAGGATCGCCTGAGACCAGCAGGTTGAGGCTGCGGTGAGCAATGATAGGACCACTGCACTTCAGCCTGGGCACTCACTCCAGAGTGAAACTCCGAGTTAAAACAAACAAAAAAGACTTCCTTATTACAAGTATCTAAGGTCTGCATTAATCTAAAGAAAAAAAAACTAAGAGATCAAAGCAAGAGAAGATGCTTTTATCTTATTTTTCCATTTTGTAGAGATGAGGTCCTCCTATGGTGTCCAGTTTGGTCTCGAACTCCAGGCCTCAAGCGATCCTCCATCCTCGGCCTCTCAAAGGTGCTGGATTACAGGTGTGAGCCACAGCACCCACCCAAGGAGAAGATGCCTTTAAAACTTTTTAAAACTAGTACAAATGTATTTTGCTTAGAAACAGATAAAATTTCACATCATTCTAGATTTGCCTTTTCCTAGCTGTTCATTCCCTGTTCAAGAATTTCCTTAGATGCCCTAGTTCACTCACCTTAACCACTAAATACGTTGTCTCTGATACTCTTAGATTGTTCTAACACTACACAAAAATCTATTCCAATCATACAGTGTCAGTAAAGCGCTCAACTACAGGCTCAAGAGTGGCTACAAAATAAATCTCCACTTGGAAAGTTCCAGATATCCGATCACAGCAGATAAGTGTTTCCCTTGCTCTCCCCTTGCCAGAGCCCTAACCTAGGGCCCTAAATCCTTCTCGGCACCTTCGTCGCCTGCTTGTTCTCAAGTCTTGACCCAAAACCCCTCTCCCAGGCATCTCCAAACTAGACCCCAAGAGCCTGTCACACACACTCATAGCTTCGGTCCCCCCTCCTCAGTCCCCAACTGCCCCGTCAGAAGGCGGAGAGTGCTGTCGCGTCTCCCCGACACAAAGTGAAGATGAAACAGAGGAGGACTGGGGGAAACCGCGGCCGGGTCTCTGTAAGCCAAAGGAGAGGGTGCTGGGACCTGCATGCCCACGTGGGCTGCGGAGGAGGAACCCCACTCACCAGGCCATCTATCTGCACTTGCTTCACCGCTGAATCTCCTGAGCCTCCTTTGCCCTTGCCTTTCCCTGCCGCGCCCGTGGCGGAACTGGAAGGGACGGCGTTGGGGCCGGCGCCTTCCTTGCGGGACGCCATCTTTCCAAGCAGACAGGAAGAAAGAGAAACGTGGGTTACTGGAAGCGGAAGTCGAAGTCGCACGTGACGTCGGCGCCGCCGGCGCTCGGTGGGCGGGGCTGGGTGGGGAGGCCGGACTGGGGCCTGCCTGCCTTCTCTTTTTGGCTTTGCCTCCTTTCCCGGCGGAAGCCTGTGCACATGCGTACTACGCATTTTCGGCCTTATTCTCATCGGGTTAAGACCGAAGCGGGCTTTTTTATATGGAATCATTCTTCACTAAGCAGACGGTCATCGTAACACTGTAGCTCGCATTTCTGTGGCTTCGCCTGCGAAAAATGCTTTTACTTCTAATTTCTTATTTTCATTCCTAATCCTGGAAACCCTCAAGGGCTGTGTTACCTCCCATTATGCATATTAGAAAACTGAGGCACGATTTGCCCAACATTAGTTAGTGGCGAGCCAGTATTAAACGGCGTGTTTTATGTAACTTTAGACAGCTGTCTTTATCCACTTAGATTATACAGAAATTAATTAGAACATGGAAACTTTGATCAGAATTGCCTGAATTTATTAACAGCCTTTACATTTGTTTCATGTTCCAGCCAAGTTATTTTATGCAATGTTGACATATGCTGCAGATTGTATTTTCTAAAAATCACACTGACTTATGACACATTACCCTGAAATACACATCTCAGGTCAGAATCGAGGCTTAGGGTGGTGGCTCATGACTGTAAACCCAACAATTTGGGAGGCCTAGCCCAGGAGTTCCGGATCAGCCTGGGCAATAGGGCTGTACAAAAAACATACATACATACATACATACATACATACATACATACATAGTGACAGTTGTAGAAAGGCATTTTAGTTAAATAATTTAAAAACATTCTCTCTGCTTCCAAATTACTTTTTACTATCTCTAATTTCTGAAATATCTTCTCGTTCATGCAATCTATATTCAGAATTGATGGAGTAAGTAGTTACATCATGTCGGGTGTATCCTGCCCTGAAGTTTTTTTCTTCTTGTCATTGGAATCTGGTGTTATATTTCAATCTGGGAGCAGAAATAGTTACATCTCATAAATTCCTAACACTACAAAATGAAAAATTAATGTCCATTCTTTTCAGACTACATCCTAAGCCACAGAGAAAGTCCACAAATTTAGAGGTATTGAAGGTTGATCATGGTAGAATTACACTAGAAGCTGGCAATAGAAAGATATCAAAAAAGAAAGAAAAATCTCGGCTGGGTGTCATGGTTCATGCCAGTAATCCTAGCCCTTTGGGAAGGCCAAAGCAGAGGATTGCTTGAAGCAAGGAGTTCAAGACTAGCCTGAGCAACATAGCGAGACCTTGTCTCTACAAAAAAATTTTTAAAAATTGCCACACATGGTAGGGTGCACCTGTAGTCCAAGCTATTCAGGAAGTTGAGGTTGGAGGATGGTCTGACCCCAGGAGGTGAAGGCTGTGGTGAGCTGTGAACATGCCACTGCACTCCAGCTTGGGCAACAGAGACCCTGACTCAAAAGAAAAAGAAGAAAAGATAAGAATTAAAAGAAAAAAGAAAGAAACATCTCACAGAATAACTAGAGTGGAGATTGGTGCCAACCCCAGGATGGCTGGCATAATAAGCATCAGAAAACAGAATACTTATAAACAACAATGAATTTATTCATTGCTTTATCCTACAACATACAGCATAACACAGTTTTGCTTCAAAGTTACAATACCATTGTTGTACTATATACTATTGTTAATAGTTAAACTAATAAATACAACTTAAGATTTCTTTGCAATTCTTTTGTCATTAGAAATATCTCACTAAGGTTTTGTGGCCATGTGTGCTAAACACATTAAAATGGGTTCTTTCATCTGTTCCAAGACAGTTCATGTATGAAATAGCCCAGATCCAAGACAGACAGAGAGGGAGGAAAGGGGAGAGGAAGAGGAGAGGGGAGAGGGAAGAGGGAAGAGGGAAGGAGTGAGGGAGGAGGAGGAAGAGAGGGGAGGGAGAAGTAGAAGGCAGAGGGGAGGAAAGAAGGGAAAAAGGCAGTGCCTACGAAGTAGAATTTGAATTAGAAAAACAGTAATATGATCACCCTGACTAGAAAGAGTCTAGAAGCAAAGGCATTTCCTTCATTTGGATGCCTGGTTTCCTTCATATCTCACTGGCTGCTCCCTCCCCTCTTCAACCTTTAAATAGGAGCACAATTTAGACCTTGAACATCTTCTTTCCCTTGCCTTTCCTCTCTTTCATGGTGATCTCATCCATTTTCCGGGCTCTGCACATCATGTATGTACTGATGCTTTCTAGATTTATATTCCTCAGACTTCTCCACTGAACTTCACACTAGCATGACCTAGCATGACCATCTGCCTATTCAACATCTCCACCTAAATATCCAAAGGGTACCTCCAACATAACCTTTCCAAAATTGACCTGCAAATACCACACCCCTAAAAAAGGTTCTTTCCACAGTGTTCACAATCTCATCAGGTGACAGCTCTATTCTTCTAGCTGAGAAGGCAAAAAAAACATTGCAACATGAAAAAAAAGTTGGTGTGATCTTTCACTGCTCTGTTTCCCTCATGCCCCACCCCTAATCCATTAAAAAAAAAAAAAAAATCCTACTTTGTCTTAAAAATGTATAGTATTCAGAATCTAGACTTCTACTTCTGGGAAAATAGAATACACCATTTTTCCTAATTGCTCATAATAAGTACAACTAAACCCCTGGACATAATATCTAAAAGAAATATAAGTAGACTAAAAGATAAAGAGAACAAAGAAAACTGAGTAAGGGCCTTGGGACCCAAGAAATAATACAGTGGTGGTTTCCCAGTGTTTCTATTTGTCACATATATCCCCAACTTGGAGCTGAAGTTCAGTGACCTGGAAACAGCAACAAACACAAACAAAAAAGAAAGCTCCAACTAAAGCCTGTTCTGTGCACTCTGTCAGTGAAGCTAGTGGGGAGCTTGGACTTCCACCCTCACCAGACAGAAATGAGACATCTGAGCTGCTCCCCAATGAAGCTGTATCAGCAGAGATCTCATCAAGAGCAAGTATTTTGCCACAGTCAAGCAGTAACGAGGTCACCTACCTGGTGGTGTCAATGGGGCAATGTGGAGAACAGTAAGGAGGCTCTCCTACCCCTCCCATCCAGGAGGTATCAGTGATGCCTTTCGAGAGCTGGAACTCCCACACCTCTACCAGCAATAGGAAACCATCCCCATCTTTAAGGGAGTCAATGCAGGCCTAATAGTAGTGTTCAGTGTTACTGTACCTTCTCCACACAGTAAC